GGGGGGGGGCAGCAGTGGTCCAGTTCAGGGAATCGTCCCTGGCCGCCTCCGTCGTGTCTGGGGGTGACTGCGGCGGTGCTTCCCTGCCCACCTCGGCTCTCCCCCCGGTCGTGCACGTGCACCGGCCCCGCCCCGTCCGCGCGCCGCGCGCTCCCCCGAGTGGATTGCGTGCAAGTACTTCTGCTACTACTCAGCTGAATTACGTGGACAATTGCTGGGGCGCCGCAAATGGGTGCCGTGCCCGCCGCCGGGCCGGGGCCCTTCTCACATGCCTCCGGCCGCCACAGGGTCACGGGTCACCGCGACCCTGTCCACGCCGAGGCCCCGCGGCACGGGGAGGACCACGGGTAGGAGGAGGTGCGCGCGCATGTCGCCCGCGTTATTCTCAGCGCTACGAGTAGTTCACCTATCTCGGCGTCCTCTCCCTGGAGGTTGAGGTCACCCCGCCGACGCGGGGGAAGCTACCGGGGTGCGGGGATGGCCTCGGATGGGAAGTCGTAGGAAGTGCACCGGTAGCGAGCGCCTCCAGCTGCGCCCAGCCGCCCCTCGGTGCCGCGACCTGCAGCCCCCAGCAGGGATAAGGCTCCTGGACGGAAACGACCTCTCCTACTTCCTCTCAGCTTTTTATTTACGACTATCAGGTCCCGGATGCGATCGGGCTCTAATGACGCGACTACTACTCCCCATTTCATCCGTCTTTGGTTGAAGTTCGTGGGTTCGTGGCTCACAGGCGACGAAGCGAGAGACTGAGAAGAAATGAAAATGAAGCGGCATGGACAGTGAGGAGAAAAAATTGGGGAAAGGGGGGGGTGAGTAGGTGCCCATAATCAATTTATTTTGCGGAAAGAATTTTTTCGCGGAAAGAATTTTCGTTTTAAATATGTACAGTCCGTGTTAAGAGATAACCCACAGTTGTTTAAAACGGTGCACAACAGCTCACCCTTTCCCTTCTTGGACTTCCCCGACAACCCCCGCTCGCCAGCCCCCTCACCTCCTCCACCCCCCTTTACAGCGTCTGGGCGTCTCTTCGGCTGAACGAGGCTTGCTCCTTCCACCCCTCCCCCTCCC